GTCCTCATCCATAGGTGCACGATTTTTGTCCAGTCTCTTCCCACATCTCCCACTCCCCTTCCCCCCCCCCCAAGCATAGTCAGTCCATTCCCTTTCTATGTCCCTGATTCATTATAAGCACCAGTTCATTCTGTACATCAGATTATTTATTTACTTGATTCTTAGATTCACTTGTTGATAGATGCATGTTTGTTGTTCATAATTTGTATCTTTACCTTTTTCTTCTTCCTCCTCTTCTTAAAGGATACCTTACAGCATTTCATATAATACTGGTTTGGTGGTGATGAACTCCTTTAACTTTTTCTTATCTGTGAAGCTCTTTATCTGACCTTCAATTAAATACATATTTTTTAAACAAATGGGTTATCAGTAGTGCATACTATTGTTGCACACTGGTTTTTATCTTTTTGCGGCCTATTCTCTTGAAAGTTATGAATGGCAGTGCATGCATATTTCTTTCAATGCCATTTAATTTCTCCATATGCATCCTGTGGATAATAGTTTATATAGCTTTGAGGATATTGGGGAAAAAAAGTCGTTTATAGAAAGCTTCTGTGTAGCGCCCAGCCACCGCACAGTTTCTCCCCGCAGACGGAGTGTGGAGTGACGGCTGTGCTGGGACCAGGGCATGGCTCGCGGTCACAGTGCTCCCCTGGCTGGTGCTGCCGAAGGAATTGGCAACTACTTCTTCATCCAAGCGCCTTGGCCTTTCTGTAGCATTCCGTCACGCCTCGCCTCATCCCGAATCAAGGCCCGACGGAGATACAGGTGGTTTCATTGGCCCACGCACACTAGGAATTTTCCTCTTTTGTGCCTTTCACCTGACTCCACAAGCGAAATAAAAATTTTAAAAGACGAGGACTGGAATTTTCCCTCCATATTTCAAAGCATTTTATTTGTCTATGGGGGGGTGAAATTAGAGCGAAAAAAAAGCTGAATCCTCCGTTTCTACATCAATGCGATGGAAACAGTAGTGCCTTTCTCCCAGGATTGTTTTAAGGCTGTCCCACAATTACCTACAAAATGCCCAATTTAGCTTCGTGTCTGGAACCTACAACAGTGCTGTTAGTGTTCGCTTTCTTCCATTTTCCCCACTTAGACTTTTCTGTTTCTCCCAGGCTATTTTCACTTCCTCCTGCCTTGGGAGGGAAGGGTTCTGCCGAGCTTCCTCTCTCCCTCCCATCATTCAGGAAGCTACAGTATAGTATAGGCATCCCTCCCATGCTCCCATTTTAGATTGTACACCTCACTCTGAATGGTTGGTTCACATTTCTAAGACTTCCTCATTCTTCTCTAGTGTCTACCTATTTTATGCCACCACTTAAAGCGAACTACAGACTCATTAAATATTTGTTACATGATAGCCCTACCCTTCCTGCTCCTGACACCTAAGAGGTGTGTGGGGAGCCAAGGAATTCCCGTGGAAAGTCAGAGGAAGGAAGCTCTTCCTTCACCTGCCCTCTGACCTCACCACCCTCCAGCTCCATCACTTAGGAAGAAGGGTGGAGAGGAAAGAATGAAGAGGAGGAAGAAAAGGAGACGCAGACTTTTTTGTCCCTTTATTCCCCCCGGATCCCATCAAATTATCTCACAACTTCCTCCCCAGACAAGCTACCTGGAGAGAGGAGTCTCATATTTTTCACTTTTTGCAGTCCTGCTCCTGCTCCTCTTCCACCCCGGGAACGGCTCAGACTGAAGTCACCAACAACCTTCTGGTTGTCAAAAACAATGGATCTCTTTCAGGTCCTCTTTCTCATGATCTCGATAGGGAAAGACAATATGGACCACAATTTCCTTCTTAAAACCCCTTCCTCTCATCAGCCAGAACTCCTCTGACAGCCACACATGCCTGTGCTCAGTGACTTTAGGCCTCTCTACCAGCATGGCCCACCGTGACGTCATATTCAGGCCCATCATGTTTGCTTTCAAACCTGCTCCTCCTGAATCTCTGATCTTGACTAATTGCACCATCATCCATTTAGTCATCCTAGCCAGAAACCTAGGCGGGAGTCTCATTGCCCTCTACTCCCATTCCATGTCCACCAAGTCCTGTCATCTCCACTCTCTTGAGCTCTCTACAGAATTGCCATGTTGCCCACCTTCAGGTCCTCCACAGTTTCATAACCGTGCAGCCTCACTCTTCTAACAATCAGGCCTTCCCTCACCATGTCTTATGATTCATTGCAGGCATATTCAAGCTGGGCTCCCTGCCCTCCATTCTTTCATAGTTCTAAGTACCCTCTACCCTGAATTGCAGATCTGGCCCTGGCACAAATTACTGACAATCCACTACCTAGAGGAAAAACTCCAAATCCCCTAGCATGGCATCCAGGATGCTCTTTTTTTCCCTCAAATTTTCTCTTCAGCTCCTAATAGCCAATATGCTTTAGCCATTCCCTTTTAGTAGGGTAATTTTTAAAACATTAATTTCTGTTTTTCTCCATGTACTGTATTTCCTCTTTCTTTCCCCCTTATAAGAATGCACCCTGGCATTCTGCTTGTCTCAAGGACCTTCTGGAAAGCAGAAGTTGCCTGCAAGACACTTCCTTCCTGTCTTTAATTTCCAACACTCTAAACTCATTGAGGAACCAATCTAGGTCAGGAAGGAGAGGGCCCATGAGAAGGAGTCTATTTGAGGGAATCAAGAAGCGGGCACAGTAAATATTAAGTCTCCCCACCCTGGAGTTGGAAGGGAGGTGGTCCTATGTTCTCCCTCTGGCTGCTCCCAGGAGAGGTGATTAAGCCTTAAAGAAATATTGTTTTATTTGTATGTATGCATCTCTTCTGTAAGGACAAAGACTAGTTAGCATTGTCTGAGCCATTACCATATGCTTAGCTCTTCTAGTAATTCTAGCTACAAACTCCTGAGGTAGCTGCTATTGTAAACACCACTTTATTGATGAAGAAACTGAGGCACAGAGAGGTTGAGTGACTTCCTTCAGGTCTCACAGTCAGTGAGCATGACTCTGGGCTTTGTTTCCAGGCCTGCTTGATTCTCAAACCATCACCTTCATTAGTTGCCTCTATTGTCCTACCCCAATCAATGTTTCTTTTTCTCACACTACTAGTCCACCTTGTACAGATCACTATCATAACACTTGTTCTATAGATAGTAGGTGCCCAATAAATATTTGATGAAAAATAAATGAAGATTTTCATGTCTAGTAATATACTTGGCTAGGGTGTCTGGACTAAGTTTCAATGAAAACAACAACAAAAATACTGGATAAAATATTAAAAATATATTCTGGAAGGCATCTATAAATTGGAAAAAAGTTAAGAAATAGCACCAGGACAGAATAAAGGCCAGAACTCACAGAGGTAAGCAGAGCCCAAAGTCAGCTTTTGTCTGGAAGGTATTTGCTGAATTTAGTGAACTTGAATATTGTTTTTTGCTGCCTTGGGAGTCTTGGGGGCCAGAGTAAAAGCCTAGTGCCCTTTAAGCTGGGAGTTTAATAAAACTGGAACCACAAAATCATTAAGGCACATCCACAAATTTCAAAAATTTTGTATTATATTCTTAAAATTCAATTAAGTCAAGAGTCAAATTTTTAAAAAGATAAATAGAAACACCCATCTGTTTGGAAACTCAGGATAAAAAATAAATCATATGGATATATAACCAAGCAAATATTGTTAACACTAATAATAAGATAATTTAAGAAGGGGAGAGGAGGAGAGATTTTAACTCACCTAAGAAGGGCTCTGCCCCCAGCTTGTTGGAAAGCCCTCAGCACTTCACTGTTACAGCAATAATTCTGAGACCAGCCTGAAAAACTTTCCGTACGTGAATATTAACTTTCTTGTGCTTCCAGATTGCTTGTTTCAGCAGCTACTGTCTTTATTTTCTTCAAAAATAGCCACTAATTTGAATGGAATGTCTAGACTACCACTAACCGTTCTTAAAAGAATGTGTTTGCAGAGTATGTCTGCTCTCCTTGCTCCCTTCCAAAAGATTTCAAAAGCCATCCTTTGTACCTCCCCAATTTGGGGGTGTTAGTTCTGAGCAATGATTCTTGATGATGTATGCACGCCTCTTCTTTCCCTCCTCCCTATTTTCTCCCTCACAAAAGATCATCACTAAATTAATTTTCTTGGCAACCCAAAATGTTTTTTCCCCCCATCTTTCCTTCACATTTCTCTAAATGGCTTACTGAAGGTAGACAAATGTCTTTTGATGTTAGAAAAATCAGGGGAAAGTGTATGACTTTGTAGATTATCTCCTTGTTAGAACTTGAGTTTCAGTGTTTTCACTAGGGGAGTCTTTTGTCATTAAGTGATAATCCTCAGAATTCATTAAATAAATGTTTAGCAAGTTTAGAGTGCTATGTAGTTATTAATTAACTAGAGTCCCGGTGCACGATTCATGCACAGGTGGAGTTCCTCAGCCTGGCCTGTGCCCTCTCACAATCCAGGACCCCTGCGGGGGAGGGCGGGGAGGGGGAGGCGGGGCGGGGATGTAGCAGTGCCAAAGCAGCAGGCAGCTGGGGAGGAGCCCCAGCCAGGCCAGGCAGCGCCACTGCCGCTCATCCTGACCCCGCTGCGCCTACCACTGCCCCTGCCACTTGGTAGCACTGCCACGGAGGAGGGAGAGGCTCCTGCCGCCATAGCTGAGCTCACCAGACGTAAGCCAGGCTTCTGGCTGAGTGGTGCTCCCACTGTGGGAGCACACTGAGCATCAGGGGGCAGCTCCTGCATTGAGCATCTGCCTCCTGGTGGGTCAGTGTGCATCATAGCGATCGGTCGACCAGTTGTTCCTGTCTTTCAGTCATAAGGGTCGCTTAGACTTTTATATATTTACACTTGGAGTGCGGGTGAATTTCCCGCCAAAATATAAGATGGCTCTGTCTTTTGGTTTTGTTCCATCCACCAAAAGGGTGGATTACAAACAAATATTTGGTAATACGCAGTTACAATCGGCCCGAGTTTACACGTTTCCCGCACTCCACCGCAAATCTATATGAACCGAGTTAAAGACGGCTCCCGCGGAGTACGAGCAATTCACGCGAGCCGACTTAACTCGTTTCCCGCACTCCAAGTGTTTAGATTAGCTAATCTCGAGCGGGTTAGTTACTAAGTACCCTCCACAAACTTTTCTGAGGAAACAGACTACTTTTGAACTCAGTGATGACCCTGTTTGTTCCTATTAATTTGTGGGTGGAGAAGAATACAGCACTTGTCTCAAAGAGAAGAAAGGAAAGGTACAGTTGGAAAGGGAATTCTCAAATGTTTCCTTGTTGGAACAACTTCTATTCCCCACCATCCTTTACCCTCAGCCAACACATCCCACTCCCTTTCCATCCTCCCTTCCAAAAACATACCACACACTATTAAGACTTTCTGTTTTAACCAGAAGGGAAAAGATAAAGACAAGATACAAACAGAGCAGTAGTGTGGGGGAGGAACAAACTTTCCTCTGCCCTCAAGGTTCTGAGTGGTCTAATAACCAAATGGGCATGAGATAGATTAGCAAGAGAAGATAACCACATTTAATACATATGTATGGGAACCCCACATGCTGGAGAGGTTCAGAGACAGAAAGAGAACATGGGTGTATAAGACGTCCTGAGCTAGGGATGAGGAAAGGTGCCTTGGGGCTTCAAAGGGTCATTGCAGGATAATGATAAGAGCAGATGCTTGTAGTATGTCTTGCCCTTAGATAGGTCCAAAGAGGTCATCTCTGATAATGGCTAATTATGGGCAAGGCCCTAAATTCAAATTCTTCTAGGTAGTTAAGGGAGGGTCAGAAGTTTCTCTTGAGCCTACGGCTAAGTTGTCTGTAGCTCAAAACAATCTGCGGACCACAGAGGCACATCTTGGAGCAACTTGTCCTGAACCCCCACAGTAGCAAGGAGGAAAACAATAGGAGAGAACCCATGCTTCTGCACACAATCAGAAATCAGCTTTAACAACTGACTATTCCATGGTTGAGAAACAAGAGCAGTTTGGGGGCAGGGGTAAGGGTTGCTGTGGAGAAAGATCTTCTCCAGAGCTGTTGTTAACCCCATCAAATAACCACCTTTCTTTCTGCGTTTCATGTCTCCTCAAACTTTCTGGAATTTTCTAATGATTCTGCGCTAGAAAACACAGCTCTGTGTGTCTACAATCTGGAAGCAGATGCAGCCTGGGAGAGGGGTGAATGTGGGGGGCTTTGAAAGGCTACTACAAGATACTAATGGAAATTCAGACTGGGGATGTAGAATTTACAATGGAAACAATCTGTCCTCCTGTTCTCAGATTTGAGCCTAAATTTTGGCCACTGTGTAGAAGGGCCTGCCAGGCTGACACCTCCTTACCTCTTCTATTTCAGTGTCAGGGAGAAAGTTTCCCATTGTTATTGTTTTGGCCATAGAAGGCGCCTGAAAGCAAGCCCCCGTGGCTTCAGAGTCTTACCAACACTTCTGAGCTGTACGCAGTGAAACCTCCTAACAATGTTGTGTTTGCTAAAACTTTTTCCATATCACTGTTCGATAGTAGGACTTGAAGGCTGTGTGGACGTAACTGATATAGTTGTTAGGGGCCAACTATCCCCCAACTTAAAGTCTCAGTAGATATCAATGGTCTAGGCCCGTGGTCGACAAACGGCGGCTCACGAGCCACATGCGGCTCTTTGGCCCCTTGAGTGTGGCTCTTCCTAAGCCTTAGGAGTACCCTAATTAAGTTAATAACAATGTACCTACCTATATAGTTTAAGTTAAAAAGTTTGGCTCTCAAAAGAAATTTCAGTCATTGTACTGTTGATATTTGGCTCTGTTGACTAATGAGTTTGCCGACCACTGGTCTAGGCCTTTGAATGCCTGGGACAGAAGTTTTAGTGGTAAATAGTTTTGGTAATAATGACAATAACAGATAGTTACCAATGTCTGTACACTTTTTCCTGATGCCACTGATCTTGCAGCTAGAATTGGCAATGGGTCACAGTTATCACCAATAGGCTGAAATATAGAGATATTCTGGGTCCTTTACAGCATCACTGGGCAGCTCTTGTGGTCCTGGACTGTACCAGGTATACCTTAGAGCAGTGGTTCTCAACCTCGGCTGCACATTAGAATCACCTGGGAATGAGGCCCAGAAATCAGGATTTAAAAAAGATTCCCAGATGATTCTAATGTGCAGCCAAGGTTGCGAACCATTGCCTTAGAGCTTCATGTTATATGAGAGAAACACCTGCCCGCCCCACACCCCCACCCCGTCCCATCCCATCCCATCCCATCTTTATCTATTTAAGGCACTGTTTTGAGGTTTTCTATTACTTGCAGCTGAGCACGTATCTAATAGTTGTACCAGTTCACCAGTTTGTTATAAGAGTAAATGAGGTAATAAAAATCCCTTAAAAATCTCCCATAGTAAGCCCTCGACAGATCGTTGCTATTATTATTATTATTATTTTAAAGTACTGTATGCTTTTGTTGTAGGCGGTGGGAACAACACCAGGTGGGGTCAGACCAGACCTGGGTTCAGCAACCTCAGTACTTGAGTTCTGGCTAGGAAAGAATTCAGAGCCAAGACCCAAACTGTAAGAGAATGATTATTTGGAAAATTACAGAGGTAGAAGTAATTCATAAAAGAGTTGGGCTTAGGAAACAAGTTATAGGGGTAAAGGAAGGGCCCTTGAAGCTTGAGAGTGAGGAAGTTGACAGGTAACACCCATGGTGGTGGGTGAAGGAGAAGGAAAAGGGAAAGCAAAAGTGAAAGCGAAAGGTGAGGGCATGCTCCCAGGAGGGAGAGCGCTCTGGGTCCTCCATTAAGGGTTTTAAGGGTGGAGATTTTAGGGGAGGTCCCAGGGAAGATCTCAATAGAACAATAGAACATTCAACAGCTTTCCATGTGTGTCCTTTCAGGGTCTAGGTCTCCACTTATTGATTGGTCAGTGTCAGGGCAAGGGGTCATTAGTCAATGCAGCTGATCCTGAGGGCAGCTGTGGCTGGTTTTGTGGCTTTCTGGGCCTGGCGCTGAAATACAGGTGAGGCCTAGATGTTATCTCCCAGGAGGAAAGGTCAGGGGGTCCAAACTGCACCCTGGGGGTGAGGTCCCACCCTACAATTGTCCTTTGCAAGTCACCCCCAGCTCTTCGCCCTGGTGACCTGGCCCTGGCCCATTGTGTTTGCTCTGCTCATGTCCGTCTAACTGCCTACCACACTTCTATTCCTCCTAGTCCCCACCTTATCTGAGCTTCATAAGAAAAGAAATACAAGCGTCCATAACCGTTTTTTCCCCATTAACCTATGACTTTCTGAAAACATGCTACTGCCTTAATCTGCTCAGGCTGCCATAACAAAGTACCATAGACTAGATGGCGCATAAACAACAGAAATTTATTTATCACAGTTCTGGATGCTGGAAGTCCAAGATCACATCAGGTTCTTGTGAGGACCCTCTTCTGGGTTGCACATGATGACTTGTCATATCCTCACATTGTGAAAGAGAGAACTCTCTGGATCTCCTTTATAAGGGCACTAATCCTATTCATGAGGGCGCCACCCTCATGATCTAATCACCTGCCAAAGGCCCCACCTCTTAATAATATCACTTTGGAGGTTAGGCCTCAACATAGGAATTTTGGGGAAAACACAACATTCAGTCCATACAATCACAATATTTCAAAGACACCATCATAAGCAATGACTTTTTATTTTATTATTATTTTTCTAATCACCACCTGAGGATATATTGTTTTTAAAAATATATATGTTTTTATTGATTTTCTTGAGAGAGAGAAAG